TTACACATTTGCACTCACAAAATTGGTTGGTAAATTCAACGAGTGGGTGCATCGACCTGGTATATCAAGTTTCTGCAATTTTTTACGGCAAATCAGTAGATTTTCGGGATGTAGATTGCTTACTTTCAATTCATGAATGAATAAAGCAACGACATGGTTGAACTTCTTTGCATGGAAAGACGTTTAAAATAACAAAATCAAGACGTATTTAATGCAATTGCATTTATATCGAGTCAATTTCTTTTCAATAATATAACGGGATTTTTACTACCGGTGATTTGGGTATTTTAGCCCCAAAATACCTTTAAATCGACTTTATCTTCTAGGAGTTCGACAGAATTTTTCCTTTCTTCGCTTAAATTATTCCGTAGCACTTTTCTTCAAGAATCTGATAAGATTTTGCTTGAGGCAGATCAAAAAACTTAAATTCGATCGAATAGCTTTCTACTTTCACAATACACGGTCTCGTCAAGGTGCGTCTTTGACCTCGCAGTGTTGGATCGTGAATTCTCTTTTTATGCTGTTTGCCTATTTTGAAATCTCTGTAAATGAAAACTAAAGGGGTTGATATGTGCGAGTTAATGACGCGCCTTATCAACACATTGTGTTGGAGTTCACTGCTTGTTTTTTACTATTTTTTTTTTAACGTATGGTGGGATGGTGTAATAGAACGAGGCCATATCACTTACGTTTCTAGGGCCGCATTCTATTATGCTTTCTAGCTCCTTCAGCCATCACTTTCGCGAGCGCAAGCTCACGCGTGCATTTCGGCGACCTCAGAGTATCTACCTTGGAGCATTGGTCATTGCAATGACACTTCGGACGTCATCGCTCTTCCGGTTGCTACCGAGATATATACTCTGAGGGGCCCGCGGCGCGGCGTCGTATCTTCGAGGCAGCGTCTAGTGATTCTAGTGATAGCGCTCTTTTGTATTCCGATTATACCGATCACTCTATATTATACCACTCTACCATTTGAGTTACGTGAGTTTAGATTATTTTATCCCCCCATTACATTATTAGGAAGAATTAAGAAAATTATTAATATCTATTCTATTTTGATAATTATTTTCGTAAAAAAATTTCCACGAAGGGCGATTAGGGAGGAACTCGAAGTACTGTCAAAGGATCTATGTAGTTTTCCATAACTCCTGCTGAAGCCTCGATTTCTGCGGTCGTGAGAATACTCGCACCGGTCTGCTTGTTGCCTACATTCAAGATCGAAGGCAAATCAATCGTGCGCAAAGAGCCTCTTCAATGCTGCTTACTAATTACTCGAGCTTGTTAGTGCATCCATTGCGTAATCAAAGGAAAATGTTAACGGAACAGCACTGAAGATTATCATCGTTCGAGTCATTGGAAAATTTAATGATTCACTTTCTCGTAGTAATAAATTTACTTGTTTGTCTAATAAACGTGATATGTGACGGTTTGCAATTAGAGATCATGCATCGGTGGAAAAGTTTCATCGAAAAAACACGTTGAATATTTTCCTCAACATTTCCATTTTACGCAATCGCCCATAAGTTGCATGTTTTTCCTCGCTCCGCTACTACTATCTCAAGGCACTGTAAGTTCCTTCAATTATCTATCTTATCGATCTCACTGAAGAAAGAAGAAGTTTGCCCTTCAGAGCCTCGAAAGCTCTCCCTTCAAGTGACTTAGACGTAATACTTGAGAGACGCTTAAGGTGATTTGTCAAGCTGAAGGGACGTGGTCAAGTTGGCACGCGATAGGTATATCGCATTGATTAGGTCAAAAATCTCGGAAGATTTTGAATTTTTAGCAAAAAAAAGACGGTAGCCCCTGCGTATGAGCCTAAAGAACCATTGTAAACCCAAAAATTGGCAAAATTCAGAGAAATGAAAGCAGAATAGTGTTTGGAAAAAAACCTCGCATTCGATACAGAAATCGATTGCTGAATCGAATGTGAGGTTTTTTCCAAACACTACCCTGCTTTCATTTCTCTGAATTTTGCCAATTTTTGGGTTTAGAATGGTTCTTTAGGCTCATGCGCAGGGACTATCGTCCTTTTTTTGTGCTGAAAATTCAAAATCTGCCGAGATTTTTGACCTGATCGATGCGATATATCGCATGCCAGTTCAACCACGTCACTTGAGCTTGACGAATTTCCTTAAGCGCCTCTCAAGTATTACGTCGTTTGATTTACGCCGTTTCGAATGATTCTTGAGGCTCGCGGGCAGGAGCTATCGTCTTTTTTTTGCTAAAAAGCCCAAATCTGCCGAGATGTTTGACCTCAAGATGCGACATATCGCATGCCAGTTCGACCACGTCACTCGAGCCTGACGAATCACCTTAAGAATTTGAACAAGGTGCTTACCAGTGTGCGCATGTCCTGGGGGTGCTGGAAGTAGTTGGGGTAGATGAGGGGGTGAGCGTGGGGGTCGGGGGTGCGGAGGCGGATGAGGCCGCGGCTGCGGGGGCGCATGAGGAGGGGGACGATGGTGATGGTGTCGCGGTAGAGGATCGGCTCGAAGAGGGCCGCGTAGACGTCGTCGCGCATCCCGCTCGCCCGCTTGTTGAACAACCCCCCGTCGTCGCTGTCCCCACCCGTCGCGAAGATCAGCTGCGCGTCCGGCCAGTCGTCTGACGCGTTCGCGAACCTGAAACAAAATCGCAAAAAAAAAGAAGAAAAATAATGAATCCAAAAATATGGGACGTTAGCTAGGAACAGAGACAATATGGATTGCATTTTGCAAAAAGGAACCACTAGCATTGCAATGATGCTAAGTGCAACTTCATCTTTTGCAATAAAATTGCGGAAATTGTGAAAAACTATGAAATTTAGATGGTAATTTTTGTCTTAAATTTACGGTTTTTAGCGAATAAAATAGAAACTATTAATGTATAATCGGGTTTTTCTTCCAAGACAAAAGAAGTTGCACTATCCTAGCAACATTGCAATGCTACAGTGGCTCCTTTTTGCAAAATGCAATCCAAATATGGAACGTCATCCAGGAACATGCAGAGGCAAAATATCGATGGCCAAAATGCGAAACCACGTTTCTCCGTTTGCGACGTTGCAAATTTCCTGTCACACTCTATTTGGACCGCGTTAAGCCGGAAGAAACCAAGCCGCATCAGCAATTGCCAAATTTAATTGGTCAATTTAATTTTTTACGTGAGTACGGTTGTGCGGATTTTTGTGCAAATTTTATCGAATTTTCTGCACGGCACGAAGCAAATTCTTTAAATTTCAAAGGAATCTGCACAAACGTTCTATTGTAAAAAATTAAATTACCAAGTTAAAGGCAATAACTGATGTGGCTTGGTTCCTTTCTGCTAAACGCGGTCCACTTTTTCTATGAAAATCTGGTCAACGCAATTTCTTGAAATTGACTGATTTTTCATCTCCGATCGCAGAATATTCTATGAAAAATTCAGTCTATATAGTTGGCTTGTTTCTTCTTGAAAAATGAAATGAAAAAGACAATTTTGAAACACTGCAATGGAGGTGCACGTGATTTTGCACTTCAGCCATTGACATTTCGAGTCCTCTCACTGCTATCTACCTCTAAGCTGTGTTACCGAGAAGAGCATGAGTGCAAAAATTGAGTTTCTAGGGACTAATAGCTTCTGAGCAGACAATTTTATTGGAAAAGCCTCCGTTCTTTGTCAAATTGCCATCTGTTATCCAAAAAAATCATGAAATAGCCTGGATGATTAAAAAACGACAAATTTTATCTTCAACTATTTAAAAATGACATTTTTATCTTCATGATGGGCAGACAGCCATGAGTGCTATCTTCTACTTTGTGGTTGCGTTTTTGACCCGCAACAAACAAATTTTAGGAGAACTCGTCGTTGTGGAAGACCTCTTTGTGTAGCACTCACAGCAACATCCACCTGTCATTGAAGTTAGTACGAGAGAATTTCGTTTCAGTCAAGTATCTCCTTAAGTTGGGTATAATTCCAAATAATGTCTTGTAGCTCTCTGCATGAGATAGCTTTTAAGGGCTGGAGAACTTCTAAACTTTCGACAGTGTAGAAACGATTTCATTCGCATAATCAATAGTTTTAGACTTAAAAGTCTTACGCATCGTATATGATGAAGAAAAACTCAATGCCTGGTGTTGGAATCACCGTTTAGCATCAAACCTTGTAAATTGGACGTATTTCTACCAAACAGACCTATGTGCAAGTGAGAAATATGGGGTGTGCTCGTTAGTTCTCTGGCGGTAAGAGTGAATGAGAATAATAAAGCGCCGGTGACGTCAGCGGCAACGAGGCCCCTCTCCGCGGTCGCCTCCGTCCGCCCGCCTCCGCATAAACTCATGAGCCCTGTCCACAACGCTCTCTTGCCATGCCCGCGGCTCATGAGTTCCGCATTCAGTTGGCACATAGGTCTGTTTGATAGAATGCAATATCCCGCTTTTCCAATTCTTCAAAAGGAACCACGCCCTCTTTTACATTGCTTCTTAGGCAGCTTTCTAGAGCACACCCCATATTTTTCGCCTCCACATAGGTCTGTTTGATAGAAATACGTCCAATTATCAAAAATTTGATTCGACGAGTGATCCAATACTGGAGTCTTGACAATACTCACTTTGTATTTACAAATCCGATGACCTCGCAGAAAGGCTGAACGTAGAATGGCCCATCTCGGTCCCTGAGAAATTGAAGGAGCGTTTTAAGGGTGAGTAAGCGAGGAAGAACAACCCCCGCACCAATGGGGTACGTTTCGGGGGGTGAGTCGAAGAGGTACGTAAGACCCCCCATAGCTGGGTGGTCCTGCAGATTGCCCCCCACACCGGGGGAGTCAACCACCAAGTTGATCTTCAGCTCCTCCAAATGCTCCTTTGGACCCACTCCCGATAGCATCAGCAACTGAAATAGATACCCCACAAAAGGAAACATGTCAATTATTTTCGTTCTAGATCTCATATTATGTATTATAGATCGATCTCACTGATGAGACCAATTAAGCGTGTAGGTATACCTTTTGCCTACTCGTTAGCAAGAAGGATAAATGGACTGCATTTTCAGTGTTCCCGGGTGCTCCGTGTGCGAGATCCGTACGCTCTACCGCTCTCCGTGCTGCTATTGGCTGAGCGTCATTCTGTGACGTCACGCGTACGGATATTTTAAGATAGGGAAGCGTTTTCCCATAAGGTTTTTGTCCGTACGCGGTCCGTGTCGGTATAGGGAATGTCCGCGCGGCACGGATAAATCCGTACGCCTGGCATCATTGTGCATTTTGCAATTTGGAACTATAAATTCTGGCCCGGTTTAGAAACAACGTATGTGCCATTAGTTTCCCCATGCACATAAGTGTTTTTTCAGAAGAGCCTGAATTTATGGTTCCAAATCGCAAAATGCAGTCCAAATAAGCTACGTTGTGCAGAGCGAAAGATCGGAAGTAAGCGACAGAGGATGGCGCGCCTTCATTTCAAGGAGTAGGCAAAACAGGACCTACGCGTCTAAATAGTTGCATCCTCGGAGATTGATCAGCTGCCTTCAATGTGAGGAGACTCCTTCGTGGTTTGCTAGTTATACGAGCCGGCGAGTCCTGATTGGTGACTTCCTGATTTGTCGTATTTTTAACGACTTGAAATAGTACCCCGATACTTTTGAATTTGAAAATTAAACATTTTTCAGAAACAAAGAGTTGGGTCAAGGGAAAACATTTTCGACTGATGAAAAAAGTATTATGGAGCGTGTTACACTACATTTGAAGGAATTCACTCAACAAAATCGTATTGAACGAGCAGATTAAGACAGTCATAAATGCCTTGTTTTAGATATCACCCAGGGAATATTCATTGTGTTCATTGATACCCTTGAATTCATTGCAATTTTAAGGAGATGTCGAGCCAATCGCGTTCAAGGAAAGTCTTGAAATTTCGGCATAAATGTGTCAAGATGACTTTAGACGTGAATCCATAAATGTTACGATAAAGACATAGCAAGATGACTTAATGAATGATGAAAAATGTCTCACTTACCTGAGGAGATGCAATGGAACCCGCTGACAGAATGACCTCTTTGCGCGCTTTCACCTTGTGCCTTCCCATCCCAACTTTTTTGAAAATAACTTTTTCGGCCCGAGGCAAGTTTGGGGAAGTATTGTTGAATAGAATTTTCTCCACGTGTGAAAACATGGACACGTGCAAATTCGATCGATTTCGAATCGGTCGTAGGAAAGCCTTCGACGTGCTGCACCGTAAGCCATCTCGAATCGTAGCTGCAACATGAGTGTTAATGAGATATACGTTTCTGCGTCAAGAGAACGTTATAGCGGGTTGATTATTGAAATTGATAGAGAAAGCAATAGACAGAGAAGACAAACGGTAATGGTATGGATTCAATCGGTGGAAACGAATGAAAAAATAGGTAATCGACTAACTGTCGGCAACATTTTTGTGTGAATCATTTTTTACGTAAGATTTTGAAGAGAAACCATGTACCGTTTTTTGTAACTCGAACCTTTTCCTAGTAGCTGACAACTGCAAAGTGCGAGTCCTTTCAAACTACATTAGTATTATTATTTTATGAAAAGAATACCTTGAGCGTAGTTGATGCCCGTCTGTTGGGGTCCGTTGAAATCGATCGGGAGGTACCCTAACTCGAGTCCACTCCTGACAATGTCATGTGTGATCGGCGACTTGTAGCGGAACTCCTCCACCGACATATATCCGCCCTCCGAGTGCCAGGAGTCATCCTTGAACCTGGGAATCTTGAAGTCCTCGAATTTCTTGAAGTACGGTAACAGATCGTCGAAACTCCAGCCTACCCTTAACACGCAAACGTATCAGACGCTATAATATTTTTTATTTTAGTTTACATACATCGTATCCTGTATTGTGTACGTCTGCAATCGCTGGCTATGGAAAGAAACACATAATCTTGTCTTTGATTCGCGTCCCTCGCGTCATGGTAGTAAAATTCACCCAAGTGTATCTGGATCGCATTTAGCAAAAAGGAACCAGCGAAATTTCAGCGTTTTCAAAACTGTGCAACCTCTCTTTTTCTTTTAAAAATACTTGATATGTGTATAGTTCTGAAATTTACACAATTATTTTCCTTTAAAATTAACTATTTTTCGGTGGGAACTAAAAACTATTTGCTATTCTCAAAGACTTTTTTAAGATAATTATGAAGAAGCAACATTTTTACAATACTGTAATCGTGCTGGTTCCTTTTTGCTAAATGCGATCCATCTAACATTCAAAATGTTTCATGTTCAATGAGTTCCTAATTGATCTATGATCTGTGAGTGAGTAAATTGTAATGGAGTAACACAATTAAGTCACGAAAAATTTTTACGCGAGAGATTATGTTAGGTCATGTTTTTTGTTTTGGTTTGAACCAAGCGTTCGATTTGATATCGAATGACGTAGTCACAAAAGCAGCATATTTTTCCCCCATCAATTTAAATGAGAATAATCAATGCAGAGTGTGCAAACATTTTAAAATCATCAGTTAAAAAAACATTGACTATACGAGTATAAATATTAAAGCCTAACACAGCGGAGCGGCGTGCTGCCAGCGCGAGAGGCTCACTGGCGCCTGCAAACCTAAGTGGATACTTCACGCATTGCACAATGCTTGAAGTATCCACTTAGGTTTGTAGGCGCTAACGCGCGTTTCGCGCTAGCCGTCCGCCCGCCGTGCGGCGACGCCTGAAGCAACTATTTCACAACAGAGGTGTTGCATAGTATTATACGAAATTGAACGTATCAAGAATGAAAGGCATCCTTTAAAGTACAGATCTTTCCTCGGCCTTTGTAGTAACCATGAATCGTGAATACTTTTAGGAAAAATTTAGAACAGCTTTTCAAAGTTCCATCTACATAAATTTGTTCAACGTCACACACTCTCCCATCCTCACACATACAGTGATAATGCTACCGGGACTCAATTTACGTACCACCGAATTGGAGTCAGGACTCAATTTACCTTCTCCCCTAATGACCTCAATTCATTGGGACTCAGTTTACACTCGTCCCGTTAATCATTAAGCTTCAATAATAAAACCGGTACTTTGATAATAATTTATCTCCGCCGTAGATTCTGATCTCTTGTGCTTGCCAAAGTATGATCGGAAAAAAAACCTAAATTTGAAATCAATCTTGATGGCTTTTTGATGAAGGTTTGATCGCTGGAAGCCTTCAAAGGCACGATTTTGGGTTGGAGCGCCTTCATTTTTCATGATACTCTACACATTGTCTCAGAGTTAGTTTAGTTGCATTATCGTGTCTTTTAATACTTGCCTTGATTCCCGGCTGCAGCCCAAAGGTCATAATCCCTCCTATTGCCTCGAACATAAAGCATCGCGTTGAGAACACTGGAGCCTCCAAGAGCCTTACCGCGGGGCCATTGGGAGCGCCCCTCCTTCAGGCCCAAGCAGGACGTGCCTGAAGGCTCCGTCTTGTACATCCAGTCCATGGGCGACATCTGAAGGCCCGGGTAGAACAGCGGGATCTGCGGCAATATAGTCTCCTCGCCACCTGCTTCTAAGAGCAACACCTTCAACCAGATAGATTCTATTCTAAGGGCTGTATTATCTCTTAGGGCTCCTAGCGCCAGGAAAATTCGGAAAAATATGAAGAATGTGCCACTAGGTATGAATTGGACTACATTATGCAATTGGGAACTATAAATTCTAGTCCGGTTTAAAAACAACGTATGTGCCATTAGTTTCCCTATGCACATAAGTGTTTTTTCAGATGAGCCAGAATTTATATAGCTCCAAATTGCAAAATGCAGTTCAATTAATAAGACACTGCGTAGCGTGATTCCTCTTCAAGATTTCACAAGGAAAATGAATCACACAACGAAGTCTGGAAATTGGCCCCTAGAGAAGCTATGAGTGTTGAAAATTAACATTGATTGAATGGCAAAAATTCGTATGCAATTATATGTATTATCCAACTTCCATTTCATCTGTGTTAACAATACTAGTTAACATCTCATTTATGAGTTGACTTCTGAAGTTCTCGTCGTGGAATCATTTTCTACGTAAGATTTTGAAGAGGAAACGTCTAACGCTTTCTTCTGATTCAGACTTTGTCTAGTCATCCATTTGACTCAACTGCAAAAATCCTGGAAAACTGTGGGGCGGTATAGGGATAAATTTTGAATGGGGAATTTTAGCCCTCTAGAATGATGAAAAGCGTTAACAGCGTAACTTCTTAAAACCCGAATGCTTTTAATATCTGATTCGGGACATTTTCGTCTTTTCTCAAGCTCAGGCAAATACATGGAATTCACAGAGTATTTAGAATTCAGGAAATACCATAAACCCTACTATATATATAATTCGTAGTGAGCCTATTAAATTACCGTCTTCAGAGAAGCGCCCGATGAAAAGTCTTACGCCCGTAATCACTTTCAAATACATACTTATAAGTTGAACTAAGTACATTTTGCAATTTGGACCTATAAATTCTGGCTCATCTGAAAAACACTTATGTGCATAGGGAAACTAATGGCCCGTACGTTGTTTTTAAACCGGGCCGGAATTTATAGTTCCTAATTGCAAAATGTAGTCAAGTTGTTCTATGTATGGCTAGTTTTTCACTCAATAGTCAGTCATGTATTTACTCTCAAGATTTCAAAAGCTTCTGAGGTTTTTCAGGTTTTCAAGTAAACATTTTCTCAAGAAATCTTTCGATCTTGAGACTTATCGCGCCTTCTGAAAATCTTTGCGCGTCTCTCGAAATGAAACAAATTTTCCGATAGGCATATTCTTCGCTGAATTTTATAAACATTGGTACTTACAGTCCAATCGGGATTTTCAGTGAGACGATTTGCGAGGACGGCGCCAGCCGACCCGCCACCGATGATGATGAAGTCATACTCGCCGCGCAGCGCGGCCGGCGATGTGTCCCTTACGCGGTTCTTGCGGTCGTTTACGTCAGGTCGGTATCGGTCGATCAGCGCACGCGCTAAAAATATGAGCAGCACCCCAGGCCCGTACGACAGGATTATCCGCGAGGTAGATATTGCTGTCAGGCACTGGAGAGGGTAGCTCATTTGCAATGCCACCGGCACCGGTTCCATCCGTTAATCTGTTGGGAAAACGTAAGTTTGGGAATCACGCAGGTTCGTCACGTAATCACGTAAGTTCGAGGAATCGCACTACACTAAAAAACGTGAGACAGTGAGTTAGAATTTGTTAGCCAACGTGCGTTAAAAATCAGCATAAAGCTGAATATCTCAGTACAGAGGGAATAAGCTCATATGAACACAATTCGTTGCTCCTCTGACGTAAAGGCGTATCTCGATCTCAACATGAGCCCTGTTCTCCATATAAATACATACTCTCCCGGGCTCATGCGGAAATGGTGATACGCCCTTACGCCAGAAGAGCGACGAATTTTTTCTCAATACAAAGAGAGTAGCCTCAGCGCGTCTGCAGTTGCCTTCTTTGCACCAAACAGCGTATCTCTTTGAGGGAAAATTGTGCCCATACGGGCTTTTTCCCCTCTGTATTGACATTTTCAGTTTTATGCTGATTGTTAACGCACGTTGGCTAAAAAATGCCAACTTAGTCTAACGACTCGTGCGTCCATCGCAATCAGTTTGTAAAAAGCGTGATACAACCGTATCAACTCCTAAGCCGCTCAAATTGCATCCATCTAGTTGAAGGCGAACTTTATTTCTAACTCCAGTTTCCAGTTATTTAGACGTAGTCACGAGAGCGGTGCTCAGTTCTAATTTTTGCAACTTGAAACTTGATGAAAATGCTTGTAGATAAATTAAGCACGTAAGGATTTTGGGTGTATTTCCATGGGTTTAGGTGAAGATGCATGCGGGTGAATACGAACAGTCCCGCAGGCGAAAGACTGCGTGCTGCCGCTCTAAGGAAGAACGCCGCATGAATATTCGAGAGTTGCCTTTCCTTTGATAAAATGTTTATTTTTGAGGGAAGTTATGAATATATTTCCTCTATATTTTCGGGAGCTTGATCAAAATACGAACAAAATTATCTTAAATATTGGAAGCAAAATATTCATATGTTTACCAGAGAATTCGTGTTCTATCAAAGAAAATTTGGCATCGCCTGAAGATTCATACAGCCTTTTTCCTCAGCGAGGCAGTGTAGGTGAGTAGTCCTGGCACCCATTTGATTATCTAAGATGAAAAATCGAAGTAAGAAGACAGTTTTTCATCACGAATCGCTAATTTGTAGTGGTGAGGAGGGGTTGAACATAACGCTTTTCATGGGTTAGAGGTGCAGATCTGTGTTACGGGTGCTATTTGAATTCATTTCCCAGCAAAGCTTTTAAATGCCTGAACATTTTCATGATCTTAAAAGCGGAGGGATACGTATAATTAGAAAATTTTTTCACGTCTCTATTTTTGCCTTTCTATGAGATACGTCATTCGAGTTTCTGATTGCGATGCTTGCACTAAAGTCACTGCCCTCCTATAACAAGTATTTTTTTAGTGCACCGCTGAGTTTAACAAAATCGGTAAATCAATATTTGTTCCAGGTATTCAATAAACTTACCTAGCTACGTGTTGAAAAACGGTCACGGATAAATTGAAATAATCACCACTAATCCCAACAAAAGTAGAGGCATTGATTTTTAAATTGGACCCATCAAAACACCGAAAAATCAACCAAAAAGAATAGCTCACTCCATTTTTTAAAAAGAAAATTGAGGCAAATGAGTTCCTACATCACAATTCACAACGCGGGAAAGTTTCACCGATAAAGGAAATCTAAGATCTGACACCATGATTATCGATCAGTTGAGGGTGTTTAGAAATTTCTTTCATGGGAAGTAAAACACTACTTGTTGAATCGAAGTTACATCACGCAACTGAACTTGATGTCTCTGTTCTGGCATTGAGAGGCTTTGGCGTCAGATAACCTCAATGAGCAATCGACACGATTTTCTTCATTTCTTCATGATTCTCGCGAGCTCATCCTTCTGATTTTTCTGTGGCGCATCTATTTGATTCCGATATTTTCGAAATCATGTCCAGCGTAGCTAATTATTTCAAGAGAAAAATTACTTCAGGAATAATTGACCCAATAAAATGTAGACTTTTTAATGTATACTGTATTTAGATATACACAATGAAGACTTTCAAGAACTTGTACAATAAATTAGAAGCACAATTTTTACATAATATTATTTACACTCAAAAATTAAAACATAAAATAAATTAGGTATCTCACCAATAAAATAACAAATAAATTAAGAATCACAATAAGCTGAACCAAACATAGATTTTCAGAATCAATTGGGAAAAGGAGAGAATAAAAGGAAAACAACTTTGTAACTTAATCAACATATTTAGCTTGTAGGTACATTTGTAACTGTGATGGGTCTCAAAGAAATATCAGTGAGAATAAAATGTGATGCTTTCGGTTTATGGAGGGCCAAGTCTCCCAGATTTTTATGTCTTTTCGAGAGTTTCAAATTTCTGAGGGAAAATGTTGTCTCCTTACACAGGATGAAGCAAATTTTAAGTACTGAAACCTTATTCAATAGCCAGTAGTATCTTTATACCTATCCTATTTCATCCACTCTAGATCTCACCTGAATAGTGAAAGAGAAATAGCTTAAGCAATTTTCGAATACGTTGCCGTGATTGAAACTTTAAAATATTTTTAAAATGAAGAAGGAGTGTGATGTTTTTTGTGGAATCTCAACTTTTAGAATACATTAATTAATATTTTGCCAGAAGTGAAGACCAGGATAGGAGTGATGTTGTTTTTGTATGGTTACATTTCTATAGGCTTGATGTTTAAAAGTACAAATCACAGGCGAAGGAGGGATTTAAGGGAAGGAAAGGATTACTCCTCGAGGCTTGAGTCCTCTTCAATGGAAGTTCAGACTTGTCGCGTCCATTTTTAATTGGCTCCAGTTTCTCAGTCTCAGATTGGTGCTAATGGTGTCCCAACAAGAACGGTCAAAAAGTTGACACTTTCGCCAGTTGGGAAGATTACAAACTGACATGAACTACGAAATGGTAGAGGCACGACACGGAGCAAACGAAATGACAGAAGAAATGGCAGAGAAAGATATTGGAATCAGTTGATGGATTGCGAAAGCAAGTGCTCAACTCTTTGGTCATGAGTCATCATTAGGCAATGGAGAATTTGCAGATGTCTGAAATTTTGTAAAATTCATCTTTACAATGAGACTACTAGGAAAACTGATTACGCGGATATCCTTGGGTTCTAAATTGAACAATTATTGGAGAAGATATGACAGAATAACCTAATCTGGCAAAATACATGTGTTTAAATGGAAAATGCCGCCAGATGACGTCACAAGGCGGTACATTTTCTCACTTTAAAATCAATTTTTCTCCAATTTCCCATGTCAGAAAAAAATTATGAAAAATACCGCGAACTCAGCTCATAAAGCTTTCTCAGATGAACCAATAAAATTGTTGTATGCATATTCTCCATTGAGTTTAGTTGTCTCATCTCTCTTATCAGTCTAGGTGTCGACTTCCAAAAGTAACTTCTACACCATGGTAAGATAGCAATGCGGGGTCTCTAAAATCTATTGCCTCTGGCTATAAATCTATTTGACCGAGTATGACATCAGAACCCGAGATGTCTCTGAGAATGAGCTCCATTCGAAGCCAACCCTCTAAGAATCAACCTTAAGAGATTTAGGCGAGTTCACGAGGGCTGACTAGTACTCCTTGGTGTAGATCCTCTCGACCTTTGACCTGGATCGTGCGGTGGGTTTCTGGCCGGTGAGGGTGTTGACGCCCTCCTCCCAGTGGGCCTGCCAGTCCTCCTTGATGAGGTCGCAGGCCTTCTCGGCGATCATGACGGTGGGCGCGTTGGTGTTGCCGGAGACGATGTACGGCATGATGGAGGCGTCCACGACGCGGAGGCCCCGCGCCCCCCACACGCGCAGCCGCGGGTCCACCACCGTCGTCTCGTCCGCCGAGGGGCCCATCTTGCACGTCCCCACAGGGTGGTAGATCGTCATCGTGTAGTGTCGTGCCTGGAGGGATCGGAAAAAAGAAGTAGTGATAAACTTGCAGAAAGGGACTACATTTTGCATTTGGTACGTTGCGCTGGTCACAGAATCGTTTTTTGATGCTTGAGTCTTGTAGATTAGTTTAAAATAATAAGATTTGTCCAAACAGCAACTTTTTGCGTTCACATTAACCGAGATATCGTCCTTTTAAAAGCCGTGATTTTGACGTCATCCACCGCGTAGTGACACCCTTGGTTTCTTCCACCTTGCTTTCATCAGTCAGGGGAACACACATTTGCACGGTTTAGTCAACATGTAACATGGATGAAAGCAAGGTCGAAGAAACCAAAGGTGTCACTACCACCGTGGGTGACGTGATAAACCAAATTTTTTCAAGCACGATATCTTGGTTAATATTGAACGTAAAAAATTTCCATTTGCACGGATCTTATTATTTATGGCAAATCTACAAGACCCAAGCATCAAAACACGATTCCATGACCAGCGCAACAGACCCATTCACGGAGAGAAATGCTCCGTCGGATTATCAGGTATTCTAGTTAATATTTCTATTGTTTTACAAACTCAAAAAATACACCAAGCGTTTCTTCATCTTCAACGAACGACTAAGGCATAGCCCGGTTTGACAGGCCATCTAGTATCGATTAGCACAATAAAATATATAATTCTATAAATATTAAAACATCTAAAAATCACTAAAAATACGCTTAAGTCCTATATTTTTAGTGATTTTTAGATTTGTGTTCGTTCTTATACGCTTGGTAGTCATTTGACTACCAAACGTATCAAAGAATTTAATATTGCCGAAAATTTACTAAGCTGTGCTACTTTAAGTATAGTGCTATGTGTTATCTTACCTGACACTCCCACCATTCGTCACATAGAGGCTCATATTCTTCGCAGCCTGGTATAGGATTCGTATGCAAACTCATGTTGTACCTGGAAAGTGCTTTTGTTTGACTGAACATGAATCCAATCTTCCCACCTTCAACCTGTAATGTAAATCCACTAGTTAAGAAATTGTGAGGGAATACATCCAAATTGAATACTTTTTACCTAAAATTCAATGTGATGAAAGCGAAATCCTTGATCAGAGGAGCCAGACAACCAGGGTTAATAACTCGGGTTGGGCATCTCCTCGCACTGAGTGCTCACACTAGCATTTCTAATATTTCTCATAATTCTGTTCATGAATGTTCACTCTGTTCCTCCAACCCCAGAAAGTGACAGCTGTTAATATTTTTTCCCGTAATCATTCGATAATAAATATTTCCAGCGGGCTAATTATTGAAATTGATAGAAAAAGCTACAGACAAAGGCGACGCACTGAAAATAAGCCATCCTATTGGCGGGAGCGGGTGGTTGCAATGGACAAAAAAGGCACGTAATAGATTAACTAACGGCACCTCAAGAGACCCTATATTTAGTCCATCATTTTCTCCCCAAGTCTATAAGAACCACTCATTTCAACGAATAGGTTCGCTCCTTACTCCTAATGTCTTCCTTGTCTATAGTATCGTCCATCAATTTAAACAATCAGTCCGCAGGTGCGAATTGTAATAAAACTTGGCGCAGGCGGAGCGCCTTCAACTCGGAGTGATACCTCACAACATTACCGCGGAGGTAAAATAGTTGTGTCCTACAGAAAATTCCACCAAAGATCCGACGCGTCACTCTCGGCAATCCGCGAAAGACCCTATAGATAGTCCATTATCTTCCCCCTCAGTCTATGACAACTACCCGTTCTGACCAACAAGATCGCTCCATGTTCCCTAAGTCTGCTTTGTCTATTGTTTTATCTATCAATTTCAACAAGCAGCTCGCGGGCATTTCTTTATTAGTTGCCAAACGATTCATAATTCGGACAAAAATACAGGGTGATCCAGGGTTAAACGGCCAAACTGCTGGAGCGTGTTAAGTAAGAAAGTTAAGTTAACTCCCTTTTTTATGGTGTCCCTTTATGGGCCGATGTCACTAAGATATCCAAATACTGCGCAATAATAACTAAAACTTGCAGACCGCTCAAACGTAGCATTTGCGCCGCATATCGCACAGTCTCCAATAACATTTTGGATATACTTAGCGGCATCCCCCCAACCGATTTGTATGTTGAGTCCAGATGCAGGCAATTTAGCGGCGAACCTAAACCCCAAGTGAGGGCGGATATTATTGAGAGGTGGGCCTCTAGGCTTGACAGTGAACCTGAGTCAGACATCTGGTTTAAATCTTTAATCCCTGACCTGAGAAGCTTCCTTCATAGACCCTTCGGTGACACTAATTTCTACATGACTCAGTTCTTTAGCGGTCATGGCAGCTTTTGCGACTATTTATTCAGATTCAAAATTCTTAACAATAATCTCTGCCCTCTCCCAGGATGCAACTTACCCGACTCGCCCGAACACACTTTCTTCCATTGCCCTTTTTTTTCCACCGATAGAATCCTTCTTGAAGCTAAGCTTGGCTCGAATTTCACCCTTTTTAACACTCAAGACCTCTTATTATCATCCCAAGAGAACTGGAACTGCATCTCGTCTTTTGTAGAACAAGTTATTAGGTGCAAAAACAACCATATGTCCCAAACCCCCCCCGCCGATGGTATACATAGATGTAATTCCGGCGCGACCTTGACTCAAGGAGTCACATAATCCATTAATACTTTTCTATTACCTTTTGTTATATACTGCATTGTTAATTTCTTTCTTTCTCTGAACCTATCTATTATTATCACACTTACATATACTGCATTTGTTGCAGGTCATTTATATTTTCTTGTATTTTCTAATAAAGGTCGTTTAAAAAAAAAAAAAAAAAAAAAAAAAAAAAAAAAAANNNNAAAAAAAAAAAAAAAAAAAAAAAAAAAAAAAAAAAAGAAAGTTAAGTTCCGTAAACCTATCTCTGTGTGGACAAGGCCTTCCATTTATATGAAATGAACGCAAATATAATGAAAGAAAATGTGATTTAATAATTTTAACTTCCGCCGCCGTGCTGCGCTGACCGTGCTGTGTTCGGCGCAACGCGTGAGGTATTCCTACGATCTTGTATGCGCTATGCGTTTCACGTCGACCGCTGCTGCACGCACTGTGTTTGACGTAATGCTTGAAGTATTCATGCGGTCTTGCAGGCGCTATGCGTTTTACGCCGCCCGCTGCTGACCGCAGCGACTGCACTGTCTTTGACGCAATGCGTGAAGTATTCATGCAGTCTTGTAGGCGCTAATATGTGTTACATGCCGACCGCCGAGGGTTTCTCCTTTTCATCTCAAGTTCTCATTATCTTTGCTCTCTGCGCTGTGCCGTTCCAAGCCGAATTCTGTGTTCGGTTTTTCTCTTAGTCTTAACTCGACTAATTAAAGATGCTGTCTATTGTATCACAAAGAGACGACAAAATCAGAGATATACTCTCAGGAACTGAGAGATTTTGTCGCCTATTCTCGTTTGTAATTTTTTTTTTTCTGAATCCGATTTTTCTTTATAGCTAAATTTAAAAAAAAATTGCAAAATTTGCCGCCCCTTTTTGCCGCCATGGGCCGCGGCCCATGTGGCCACCCCCTAAATCCGGCCCTGTCTGGCCGGGCCGTGGTCCAAACCCTGGGTCAAACTGTACAGCATACTTTGAGTGAAATGCACCTATGATAACCTTATAATCCTAAAATTTTTCTTTTTTTTTCCCACGGAAAATGCGTGATGATAATCACCATGGTTGCGATGTCCTTGGGGTGGCTGAGGTATCGGGGCTGGATCTCCGGGTAGACGTAGGGGTCCTTGCTCTTGAGGCGGATGTAGCCCCTGCTCTCGGGGCGGAGGAGGAGCGGGGCGATGGTGATGGCGTCCTGGTAGAGGATCGGCTCGAAGACCTGCGCGTAGAACTCGTCCGTGATCCCGTTGTTCCGTCGGTTGAACATCCCGCCGTCGTCGTTGTCCCCGGCCGTCGCGAAGTACAGCTGGATGTCCGGCCAGTCGTCCGACGCATTCGCGTACCTGTCATCAGAAGGATTTTTCATTAGAGCTGAGTCTGATTAGACTGCATTTTGCAATGGAGATGTTGCATGTGTGAGGGATTTGCGATTTGACTGTTGATTCGTATGTAAAAGTTCGCGAGAAACACGATGGTGCCACTGGTTTTCTCTGAAATCATCTCCCAAGCTCAAAAAGCGCTCTCAAGATGAGGCCAAAATGGAGGGGATATCCCACGCTATCCTGAGAGTCCACCTCTACATCAAGACAAACTCTCCATGCAAAGATAGGGAGCAAATAGCAATGATGCCGTGTTTTCAGTTTTGGAGTCCCCAAATGAAGTGGCAGCCCTGTCAATGTATTTGCTCCCTATCTTTGCATGGAGAGTTTGTTTTGATGTAAAGGTGGACTTTCAGGGTAGGGTGGGATATCCCCTCCATTTTAGCCTCACTTTGAGAGCTTTTTTTGAGCTTGGGGAGATGATTTCAGAGAAAACCAGTGGCACCATCGTGTTTCTCGCGAACTTTTACATAAGAATCAATGGTCAAATCGCAAATTCCTCACACATGCAACATCTCCATTCTTGGCTCTTCTGTAAAAACCCTTTTGTGCATAGAGAAACTGATGGGACGTACGTTTTTTTTAAACTGAGCCAGAAATCGAAGTTCCCAATTTTAAACTGGACCGCGTTAAGCAGAAAGGTGCCAAGTCACATCAACTATTGCCAAATTCAACTGGGAAATTTAATTTTTTATATGAGAACGTTTATGCGGGTACCGTTGAAAAGTCACGGGAAATTGCCTCGCACTATGCGGAAAATGCACTGAAATCCGCACAACCGTTTTTATGTAAAAAATTAAATTGCCCAATTAAATTTGTCAATAGCTGATGTGGCTTGATTCTTTTCTGCCTAGCGCGGTCCAACTGTACTGCCATGCTAAGGAAGAACGCCGTATGAGCCTCCAGACGTTGCTACATCTCCTTCAATGAAAAACGAATTTACCGGAAAAATTATGAATACTTTCATTTAAATTTTACCGACGATTTTGTTTGACAATTCAATTCAATCTAAAATATCCGCAAGTTTCAAGGGAAAAGATAGAAACTCTTCTTCAAAAATGAATATTTTATCCGGTGAAATTTGGCAACTCTCGAATATTCATACGGCGTTTTACCTTAAGTCGGCAGTGTAGTCCAATTACTCAAGATTGGGAGCAAACCTCGGGTGATTAAGACTGGAATCGCTAAATTAGAAAAAAAAAACTTTCCTTGCTTAGTTTACTTTGTCCGAACGACGTTTATATAACGACGGAACGACGGACTATATGAATTAAGTGAGAAAAGTTTGAGTTTTTTTATTTTACCGATTCCAGTCTTAATTAAATGTACCTTCTTTGCTTTTTAGCCTTCTTTTATCATTATTTCTAAGCTTCCGGTGGTCTGCTAACGAAACGCTCGAGTGTGATGCATGGAGATTAAAATGTAGGTTTCAAACACCGAATATCTGCTTCTATGGAACACAAGTTTTCGATTGAGGTAACTGAAGTGTTTGGTCATAGAGACGGAAGTCAAGCTCAACAAGTTTGTTACAGTTGAAATGTTGAGGTAAAGTGTTCCCATGTAGCCCTCAGTTTCATCTGAACTCATAGTTGCATTATTTTCATCCCTTTCTATTTCATGGCAAGTTGTCAAATCGTACCTTGTGTTGACGAAAGCATGGGCTTCTCCGAAAGGCTGAACGTAGAGGGGTCCGTCCTCTTCCAGCAAGAACCGCCGAACAGTGTTAAGGGTGAGCAATCGCGGTAGCACGACAGCGGCTCCGATGGGTTTAGACTCGACGGGCGAGGTGAGCAGATAGGTCACACCACCCATCGCCGGGTGGTCTTGCAGATTTTGGCCCACTCCTGGTAGAGGAAGAACCGGGTTCACACCCACCTCAGCCAAGTGGTGAGGGTCACCTACACCCGAGAGCATCAGCAACTGGAAAAAGGAAAGTATGGGCGCCTTATAGTCACAGATAGTAATTAAAAAGAGGAAGTGCTGGTTGCAAAAGCAAAAGATTGGTCTGCAGTTGCGCTAAGTACTGCCTTTTGGTTGGCTATTGCCTGTGAATAAAGTAACCCATTTGTTGTTTATAGAATTCCACTTGAACAACACCATTTTGTACACGGAGAAAAAAACTTCTTGCATGGAACCCGAAGTTGAAGTCATATGGATCTCTGAAGTTTTCGGATCTCGCATCCGAAAACTTGAGGTCCAGCTGCGGAAGTTCGGGTCAGACATCTGAAGTACTTAGGTACATACCGAAGGGTTTGGGTCACGTATCTGAAGTATCCGGTACGTACCTGAGTACTTCAGATGTCTGACTCGAACTTCGGTAGTTGGGCCTTAAGTTTTTGGATGCGTGATCCGAAAACCTCAGAGATACATCTGACCTCAACTTCAGGTCCCATGCACGAAGTTTTTTTCTCCGTGTAATGAAGGTGAAAAATAGTGGATGATATAGAATATACATGATATATGTAATAGAAGGTGATAAAAAAGTGATAATGTTGTAGTGACTGATAGAATCCTTTTTTCAGAATTCATCAAAGAAATAATTTTCTAGATCCATGTGTCAACATTTCGATTGTTTTCTTAAAAACCAGCAGACGAGTCTCATTGTTGTTCACCAGCATGCTTTGTTACAATTTTTTTTCAAAAGATTTCAACCGTTGCCGACTCCCAATCTCAGTTAGCAATCGCCGGCGTCCCGGCGATTTGCAACCAGTATAAGTGTAAACCTGTCAAATTGCAATCATTCGCATCTTCAGAATAAAGCTGTCATCAATGAAGAGCTTCAAAACCCTGGAGCGCCTTCAAATCCGAGCGATACTCTCCGCTTTGCCAGGCAGTTAGTTTAGTTGCCTATCCGAACCAAACCCAACTATAGTCACAAACTTCACTGCGCACGTACGCTCGTGAGAGTGTGCTAGCTGGTGCCAGGTATCAAGCACTCAAGAGGATTAAAGTTTGTTTTAATTCCCAGCATAATAATCAGTACTTTCCATTCTGTTTCATTACTTTTAAATTGTGAAATATTTTTAACTCAACACAAACAGATTGCAATTTACCGGCGATCGCTAATTGCCTGGAACGAATACACCAAAATTGATTTCCTATATACTAGAAGTAGAAATCCAAATCGAAGGAACTTTAGAATTGGAAAAATCTTTGATCCTTCCGTGCGGCATCTCATGGGCTTTCCAACACGGAAGAAAATAAATTGCTGATTCAACAATTCAATCGATAAAAACAGCGAGTGCAATGTTTCAACGTAGATTTTACAACAAAAAAATGCTACTCTAACCACATTGTAAACTAATTTAACCACGGGGGTGGTTAAAGTAGCATTTTTTGATGTAAAATCTACATTGAAACATTGCACTCACTGTTTTTAGCAATTGAATTGTTGACTCAGCAATTTAATTTTTTTCCGTGAAGCTTTTGGAGGTTACTCACCTGTGGGGAACCAATAGCACCTGCGGACAGGATGACCTCTTTCTCGGCCATTACTTTGATGGGCACACTCCCAGCTTTTCGGAAGATGACGCCTGCGGCTTTGGGCACTCCATCTGGTCCGACGTCGAAGATGATCCTCTCAACGTGAGAGAACATGCTCACGTGTAGGTTGGGTCGTTTCCTGATTGGTCGCAAGTATGCTTTAGCCGTGCTGCACCGCAAACCGTCCTTCACAGTAGCTGTAATTAAAATCTAAGCTTAGCGTGGGCGAAACATTTTGTAGGGGCGCCAAAACAGCTCCACATCATAAAAAGCTTGGAGGATTTCCTAATCTCCAAAAGAAGGGCCAGTGAGGAGCTTATATGTCCATGAAAATTTTGAAAAATTAAGTCATCCCTGGAGCCATGTTACGCTGGGAACGGAATTGTATTTCGATGGATTAAGCTTTATAGACTAGCAAAACTGTCATGATAGTGAAGATAGCCGTAAGTAGAAACATGCAGATTTGGGGAAATTGGCTCACTAGCGTCTGAGCGGAAAATTTAATTGAGAGAAGCCCCCGCTCTCCGTCAAATTCCCACCAATCATCCGAAAGACTCTTTATAGAAATCGTTTGAATGATTAAAAATCGACCAATTTTATTTGAATTATATAAAAGGGGTATTATTCATTTTAATATTAGGCCAGTGTTAGGGATGACAACCGTAGGTGCTATCCTCTGTATGCTTTCATGGTTGCGTTTTGGACCCACACATTACACTCATTTCTAGATTAGAAATTAACAGAAAAAGGCTTCATTTACTTAAACGTACTGCTCTCATCGGTTTCCTGGCGGAATAATGCTGCTTATGGCTGCTCTGGAAAAAAAACACATTGAATCTAGAGTCGAGACTCTTAAAAACATCGGCAAGAAAAAATACTCTTGATTCAATCGGATTTTTGCTTAAATCAAGAACCAAGCCTCTCAATTTCAGCGGATTTCGTTTTGATTTAAGCACAAATTTGATTGAATGAAGAGTATTTTTTCTTGTCAATGTTTTCAAGAGTCTCGACTCTAGATCCAATGTGTTTTTTTCCAGTGCGGCTGTTTTGCCCAAAACTACGTCATTTTTGGCGCACTTATGGCTCTCTCATATGTCTTGTCTTCCTGAAAATTAGACGAAATCTGCTATTTTGGCTGTTTCAGGGATTTCATCAAGGAGAGTTTAGACCAATTTTGATACAAATTCAATTTCGAAAATTTGAGAGTGCGACGGCTCTCCTCGCTATTACGGCAGTACTCAATATCTCGTATTCAATGTGAGGAATGCGTAGCATCATCCTTGACATTGCAGATACATCTAGAACGCAACTTCTGACCGAGAGTCTTTCGACGGATGCGTGCGAATATTCTCCAAAAACTCACTGAATGTTTTGAGATGGAGCATGATTACCTTGGAAGTAGGAGATGCCGGTTTGTTTGGCTCCGTTGTAGTCGACGATGTCGTATCCGAGCTCGGGGCCGGCGGAGACGATGTCGTGCGTTATCATGGACTTGAAGCGGAACTCCTCCACTTGCAGATACCCATCGTGTCCGTGCCATTCGTCCTCCATCAAGTGTGGGATGTTTACCCTCTCCGCCTTCTTGAAGTACGGCAGGCAGTCCTCAAAGCTCCATCCTGAAAATCCACGAGAAATTGAACTTCATTCAAACAGCGCACTGGAAAAAAAAAAAGACACTGGATCTAGAGTCCAGACTCTTGAAAACATTGACAAGAAAAAGGACTCTTGATTCAATCAGGTCTAAGCTTAAATCAAAAGGAAATCCGCTCAAATTAAGAGGCTCGGTTCTTGATTTAAGCTTAAATCTGATTGAATCAAGAGTATTTTTTCTTGTCGATGTTTTTAAGAGTCTGGACTCTAGATCCAATGTGTTTTTTTTTCCATCGCGTGTAAAAACAAGACCTTCAACAACCGGAAAACTCACAAGGCAGATGTGGTAGGAAACATGACATTTTGATCCAGCGACAAAAAATATATGGGAGTCATCTTTAACCTCTTCCGAGCTCATGCTTGCATTCACAGCCCTTCTTTGAGCCGGCCAGGTTGGCATAGTGGTCAGCGCGTCTGACTCTAGGTCAACAGGTCCCGGGTTCGAATTTTCACGAAATCTAGTAGATCTGCTGAAACGGATTGTACTCGGCCCTAATCCCTGAAAATTTGAAAAGCCTGGAGGATGGATGTGCCTAATTCCCTCGATGTCTACGGACAATAAACAAAGTGTAAAGTTTACTAAAGGTGCTAGACACGAAGCCATAAAACCAGCAGGAGAGAGAGATAATAAAAAAACCCATTTGAGATCTATTGGTACTGAACTATTAGGTGTTTTGGTGGAGCGCCAGAGAGCGCTGCCATAAAATGACATGTATTTACATAATGGACCACTAGACAAGGTACTAATTTCGACATTCTGATGCATGTTTCTTCAAGAAAATTTAACGTGAAACACGATGCGGACAACGAAAATTACCGAAATCAATTCCTTACGAAGATATTTAATGATTCTTGATGCATGAATTCAAACCACCCGCTCATGAAAAACTCAATGCTCCACGCGATTCACATCGCGCGTTAAACGTTGTTATGATAGTCTCTGCGATATAAAAATCTGGCAATCTCATTCTTGACGCTTTGACTCAGCTGAAGTAAATTGCTTATAGTTTGAACAGCACATGGTGGGAAATGAACATTACTCGATTTAGAAGCTTGCTGAAGCCATCGTGGCGCGCGATTTGACTCACGTAGAGCTTTGAGTTTCTTATGAGCGGGCAGTTCAAATTCCTCGTAACCAGTGTGAAATTAACGACAGAGCAACGGGGAGAATTGTATGAGCCTTCCTTCGCATTCCACAGCCCGCATGGCGCACGACCCGCCTGTCATTACTACACTTCATCTAGCGTTGCGAGTTCACTTAAAATTACTTAACACGATTAGCATGTAATTTTAAAAGTTGAAAATCTAAAGAAAAACTAAGAAAAAAAGAAAAAAAAAACTATTTACACGATACACGAGTTTCTCCCCGCAAGGAATCATTCCCCACCCGTCCGCCGGGAGAGCCGCGGCGTGCTGTCAGTGCGCGTTTCGAACTGGCAGCACACCGCGCCGCAGCGTGTCATAAACTTGTCCACAATTAATAGGTCAGGGTGTTAAAATGTAGGCAATTTGACATCAAATTTGAAATTAGCGACTCAAGAAACATCAGTTACGAAACTTTCGTGATCTTTCAGTCATTATCCGACGTATTTCTTCCTATTCTTTAGTTTTGGACCATAGTCTGCCGCGGGCGGCGACGCTCATAAAATACTCCCCTGTGTTTAATTGGTGAAATAAAAACGATAATATCTTCGTTAGGAGTTGGTTACAGTAATTTTCATTGCGCGAATCGTAATCTACGTGAAATTCTGGTAAACAAACACGTATCAGTTTGCTCACATTTGTACCTTGTCTAGTGGTCGTTCTTGCCTTCAAGATAGTCTCCCACTGAAACTGAAAATCGATCGTTGTAAGAATAGTATTAAAATTCATTATACCGTCATCTTTAATTAACGCCATTGTTTTCTTTCTGTTACAGGTATGATCGATGCTTCTTCCACCCTGCAATTCGTATTGAAACCATCGTATCGTAAGAACCTTAAGATCATTACTAAAGAGCTTTCTTTCAAAATTGACAAACTTTATAGCATAATATGAACGGTTTTAAACAGAAACAGCCTAACAGTGACGTGGCGTGCTTTGCGATATATCGATTGTTATGCCATTTAAACCTATGGAAAAGGATCGATAGACAGGGTGTTCTGTTCGCAGCGAACCATTTACGTGACCCGTCTTATTCAAGCTGCTGTCTCGCAAAGAGCTTTGTGGAAAAGGGATTAAAATTAATGTTTGAAATGTGAACCGAATGTTCTACAGTGTTATAGAAGTTTTTACACGCACCCATTGAATACTATAGTCGATGCGAATAAACAGCAAAAAACACTTAAAGTTTTTCTTCGGGGGAGGAATATGGAAAAAAATATACATAATACTACCGCGCTAAGGAAAAACGCCGCACGAACATCCAGATTGTTGCCAAATTTTCATTCACAAAACATTTATTTTTGAGGAAATTTGTAAATATTTGTCTTTGAAATTCTCGGATACTTTAGATTAAAGTACCAATTACAATCTCCGAAGAAATGAAAGAAAAGTGTATACAAGTTTCCTTGAAAACTTGTACTTTATCAGAGGATATTTGGCAATATCTGGAGGCTTTAACGACGTTTTTCCTTAGCCAGGCAGAATACTAACCAGTATTTCCTTCCGCTTCCCATCTGTCGTAATCCCTTTTGTTCCCACGAACGTAGAACATAGCATTCAGACCGCTAGATCCGCCAAGAACTTTTCCTCGTGGCCAGTTCGATCGAGCTTCATTGAGTCCCTGGCAAGCGTGTTCCTGGGGCTCAGATTTGTACATCCAATCGAAAGGCGAGAACTGAAGGGCGGGGTACAACATGGGTAGTTGCATCAGCAGGGTCTCGTCTCCACCAGCTTCTAGCAGTAGCACCTGATGAAAATCATTAATAGAGGTTCTTGAGAATCAGAATCACCGGTGGCGGGGCGTAAATGATCTATTCATCAATTTTTCCCCCATTTGAAGCTATGGTAAAGAATCGATTATCAAAATGTTCGTTGCGAACACTCTGTTGATCGATTCTATTCTATAAGTTTAAATGACCGATAAATCGGTGTATCGTAAAGTACGCCACGCTACTAAGACTGACGCGTTTACCGTGTGTATTGTGTAAGTCATCCTCCTTTTTCATTGAATCGATTACACTAAAGCGATGTAATATTGAATTTCTTTGTTGCTTAAAGCCTTTTCGACCTGATGATCATCATCAAAGCAAAATTGGACCCAGTTTAACAGAAAGGAACCAAGCCACATCAGCTATTGCCAAATTCAACTGGGCAATTTAATTTTTTACGTAAGAACTTTTGTGCGGATTCCTTGGAAAATTTTAAGGAAATTGCTTCGTGCTTTGGGGAAAATTCACTGAAATTTGAAAAAAATCCGCACAACCGTTTTCATGCATAAAATTAAATTGCCGAATTAAATTTGGCAATAGCTGATGTGGCTTGGTTTCTTTCTGTTAAATGCGGTCCAATTTACATACCTTACACTATCACAAAATTTACAACAACTATTTTAAAACAAACAACTTAATTACAATTCTTCGTAACTGTCACGAAGCCGACACTATCACCCAGGATTGGAAGTTAGAAGTATTGAAATTACACGGATGGCGGAAAGAAAGTTCAAACTGACTTTTTGATGCTTAAAATTGTAATTTGGGAGCGAATTTTTCACAGAGTATGAATTAAGGCTAGTTTTACTTGGAGGGTATGCAGACAGTACCTGTACGTCTACA